GGATGTGATTCAACGCATGACCAGAGTAGAGGTAGAATTAAATCATTTTTATTCAACTGCACATGCAATTCAGAAGATTTCCTTACTTACAATTAATCAATTCAGTTCTCTGGCTCATGGTGAAAAAGATAGTGTGCTCCGCCTTCCTTGCAGTTTAAAGCGTAGACAAAGGAATGGAAGAAGGCTGTAAAACTCGAATTTCCGCATCTCTGAGAGCCGGAAATGACTGTTGATCAGCCAGTCATATGAATGCTTTTGGATGTCTAACTAAAGACTTCAATTCCCAGAGGCCACTTCTCTTAAAGATATATGGCAGTTCTACTTAGCTAAAGTTAATCACTGGTTGGGACAGCACAGGTGCCATGACCTAATCTTGGAGGATGAGTGTAGCAATTGGGTAGGTTCATACTGGAGTAGATGGGAGCCCGTGATAAAATGGGCTCTAGTACGCATAAACCTGAGCTGAAGTAGAAACGTGTTAATCTTTAAGGTACCACAAGATTCTTGTCAGGTTTAGCTATGAGACAGAGCAATGCTAAATGCAGTTATTCCCTTAGAAATCTATTGACGTTAATGGATATAGAAAGGTTTAAATCTGTTTAAGAATATGCTGCATACAAGCTCTTTCTCTGGAATTTGTTACCATTGTTACCATCCTTAGGACTGTGTTTGCCCTGTGGTTCCACAAAAGCTCAGAAAAGGCAACAAGTGGAGGAATAGAATGGAATTTATTGAGAATCTTTTGAGATTTTGAGAATTTATTGAGAATCTTAGTTTTCACAATTGAAAGATTCTAAGCCCTTGTATCCAAAAAGATAGGCAATGTGCATTAATGTCTGCCCCTCTTGGTGCAGTTCTTTAAAAAAACAGCAGGATAAATGGACAAAAGTTAATAGAAGGATCATATTTTCTTTAAAGCTGAACAAAAGAGTTGAAGAATAGGGAGGATTTTTTTACTTGGAACAGAAGTTTGAATATTTTTATACCACACAGCACAGAAATCTCTGATTACATTCAGGGGAATCCAGCCAGGGTTTTTGCTTAATCTCACCCAGTTCTACACTTACTTTAGCCCCATCCCACGTGGCTTTTGAATAAGCAATTGAATACGCAACTCAGAGTAGTTTTATTATTTTGGATGGTCAAAGGAGCCCCCTCCTCCCATTTTTAGCACTGGAAAAACTGTTTCGATCCTACCCATCATTTAGAATGTTTACCAAGGAAGCCATTTTGTCAAGATACTTATGACCCTGCTTTGTCCTTCTCATATGCAGAGAAGAAGTAGCTTGGAAGTCAGTGTAGACATCATTCTGACCAGTATATGCCATAAATCTGACTATTGGAAGATAGGGATGCCAGTCCCCAGGTGGGGGCAGGGGATCCTCCAATTTTTTTGGTTCGACCAGATGCCGGCCAGCTGGCTAGCAAGGGGAAGCCCCACCACCCCCAACAGTTGTCTGCAGCTCAGCTTGAAAAGAGTGGGGGGCCATGGATGCCTTCCCTGCAAACAGCAAATTAACCACTTGCAGGGCAGGTGCAGGCAGTCCCTGCTCCCCCCCCCAAACTATTTAAAGGGAAGGTTCCCTTTAAATGGTTGGGGGAAAGTGCTGGGGGGCGTGCACACATGGCACTGTGTTCCTGATGTGATCACATCACTCTTCATGACATCATCACATCAGGGACAGCCCCTCCCCCTCCCAGCACACACCCCAAATCCCCCCAGCAGGGAGAAAACAGGACCCGGCAACCTTACTGGAAGATGTTCCAGTGAGTCGTATCTGAATAGGCCCTTATCAAGTAGCAAGGGAAGGGATAATCAAATGAGGATGCAAATGACTCTTCAAGTTGCAGTTTGTTCAAGTGTAAAATTAGAGTGGCAGATGAAGGATCTTTCTTCTTTGTGTCCATGCAATGGGGAAAGACAGAAATGGTTAGTTTCTTATATAGTCCATTGGGAAAACACTGTATCTTTTCTTCCTTTTTCACATGGTCAGTGTAATTAGTTCAGCTCATCATGGTCAATGTAGACTGTATATCCATTCACTTGAAGTCATCCTCACTACTATATTTTTAACTTTTTTATTCCACATTCATTGGGTTGGATTCAACCAGCTTTTCTGCTAGTGAAACAGAAAGGAGGCATTTTCTTTGACCATCTAAAAAGGCTACGTTGAAAATCATGAGGCCTGCATCTACATAAGACCTGTGAGATTGGGGGTTGTTGTATGGAAGGGAATTGGGTGAAATTGAGTGAAATAGCTGGCTGGATCCAACCATTCAATGTACATGAGACCCACACCCCATAAAAACCCTGTATGAGTATAAACCATGAATGTATGCAAATACAACATAACATATAACAAAGCCGTAGTCAGTAACATTTGTTCAAAACAGATTCAATTGAATTTGAAATGTATGTCATGATTCACAAGACAGTGGCATAGTGACTGTCTTTTCATTATAGGATGCAATGGTCATGTGAATTATGGTTGTCGGTTTATTATGAATGTACAAAACTGAAGATCAACACTTGAAATATTTAGGATGCTAATTCCCTCCAAAGTTATCTTCCCTCTTGGGGCAAATGACACAGGATTTATTCAAGGTATTATTAATGCAATCAATTCTGTGGGGATCCAAAGCTAAGAAGTTGTCAAATGGATCAGGGAATGTTTCTTATTCACTCATTGTCTTTTGGAAAAGTAACAATATTTTTAGTTCTAGATACTGGTGTAAATCAGCCAGACTGCACTGGTATCAGTAAAGCCAGACCCTGTGCCACAGTTCATATATTATAAATTTGTGGAATTTTACATGGATTTATTATTCAAGAATACGTCTTAAGTCATCTAAAGCAGAGTTCATTTATTGTATTAACCACTTTATATAGTTTTGTTCCTCAAAAATATGGGTTGGCTCCACCCAACTTTTCCACTGGTAAACAAAAGGAAGGAAGGGTCCCCATTGACCATCAAAAATGCTGAGGATCATGGGGACTATAGTGAGGTGGAGAATTGAGTCAGATATAATGAAAAATGGGCTAGATCCAACCCTTTTTATTTAGTACCTGCTACGTGGTCAAATCACACCACAGATGTGCCCTTTTTTGCTACTACAAGCAAATTCCACAAGATGGAGCACCAGATCAACCTGATAAAATGGCAGCAATCTCTGGAATGTTATGATTATCCATGTAATGATTATCAAGTAAAAAATACAATTCTACTTGTAGTTGGTGCCATTGTACTCATGGTTTAAGAAATGTAACACTGGGTGTTCTATAAATGGAGCTCCAAGCTTTTTCATTTTCTTTGTGAAAACCAAGCACATGGGGATAGTTAGATTTGGCACTGGAATGTGATGCTTTAAGACTTTCCTCTTACACCATTTCTCTGATCAGGATCAAACACAGTAAGCAGCTGTTTGCCCCACTGTGAAACCAAACACATACATCATGAGCAAAAACAATGGGGTGAAAGTAAAGTGAGTGGAGAATGACCGAGACGTGCCCCCTCCTCAAAACACTCTGCAGTCCACCTGTGAAATTCCATGGCCTTTTAAACTAATTTTTAAACAATATCATGTTTGTATAACGTTTTGCATAGTCCAGCAAGAATAACACTCCCCAAATAAGAAAAGTATAAGGGCAAAGAAGGACGTAGAAACAGATTTATTCCAATTTCACAAAGACAGACACATCGTTTCAAAAGGTCCAACACATTTCAGGCCACTGATCACCCTTCAGAGAACTGCATGTGGTAAAATACATCCTTTGAGCTAAGTAGACAGATGACAAAGCATATTGTGCTTCATTCCAATGACAAGCTTCTTATTTTTAAAATGTTTTATTGCTACCTATTATGTTTTTGTTATTTTTGATTGATTCCTGATGAGCAATTATCTTTTTAAATGACCCGTTATGGTTGAAAACTACTGTTAGGTTGCTTCTCAGCCTGGTTAGAACTGAGCTAAGTCTTCTGACAGTACATGCAAAAGACAAAGAGGTGGTTTGGACCAAAGATCTAAGATCTGTCACTAACCGGAAGAAGGATCTTTGGGGTGGGAGGGGGGACTCAAAGGAGATTAAAGTAGATCTACTGACCTGGATAGGCCAATGGTCTTCAGCCTTCCAGGTGTTCCCTGGCACCAACCATAAATATGGGACATGGTTTTATTTTTATTTTTTCCCTTACCATTCACTTTTTCCATTCCTCACTCTCTGTTGCTTCCATCATTGTTCAGTGGCCATTTGAGATCATCAACCATAACACACTCTCTGTGGCCATGATTTCCCATTTAATGGGACATGGTTTTATTTTTATTTTTTCCTTACCATTCACTTTTTCCATTCCTCGCTCTCTGTTGCTTCCATCATCGTGCAGTGGCCGTTTGAGATCATCAACCATAACACACTCTGTGGTCATGATTTCCCATTTAAAAAACAATTATTTAGGATGATTTTGTGGTGGTTGCTACCAGTTATGGCTCTTTACACACAATTTAAATCATGGTTGCCACCTAGTAATTCACCTAGTCCATGTTCTTGTTTTGATGAACATCACCTTATTCCTAAATTATCTCTGGCAGATTTCTGCAAATCTACAAGGAAAGAAGGAAATTCTGCAACACCCTAAATTGTACTGTGCCATTCCTGAACTGCTCATTGGAGTCCAGTCATTTTCCTTAATATTGAACTAGAAGCTACAACTCGTTTCTTCAGCAGACGATTAGGGCTGTCCTCCCTATATGCTGGTGGTGAAGACACCAGAAAAGAGTGGATTTTTGTACCATCTCCAGGCTCCAGCCATCATAAGAGGCTTCTGCCATTCTAGGGACTACCAGCTGCCAAGCAAGGGGCTACTAAAACATATTGTGTAAAGCCTCTTGCAGTCTCCTGTACCTGAAGAACTATTTTGCCATAAAAGAGAGGTTGTGTTGTTTAGCCCAGCTGTATGTAAACAACAAAATTCCTGTGCAGAGATGGAGGGAATGGTGCTTGATCAAACTGTCTTCACTAATGAACCACCAATGCGCTTCACTGTATCCCTCATCACATCCTTGACCACCTTGTTTCTAAAATTATAGATGATAGGGTTGAGTAAAGGTGTTACCACCGTGTTGAGTACAGTGGCCACCTTATTGAAATCCATGGAAGTGCTGCCGGCTGGTCGAACATAGATGAATATGCTGCTGCCATAGTACAGTGAAGCTACAGTGATGTGGGAGCTGCAGGTGCTGAAGGCTTTCTTTCTACCTTCAGCTGAGGGCATCCTCATCACTGTGACAATGATGCAGACGTAGGAGACAGCCGTCACAGAAACAGAGGTCAGCAGTGTGAAGCAGGATGTAATTAATTCTACAACTTGAATCAGGGTGGTGTCTGCACACAGCAACTGTGTCAAGGGGCTTGTGTCACAGAAGAAATGATCAATGACATTGGGGCCACAGTAAGGCAGGCCAGCTTTGAAAATTGTACCCACCACAATGCAAGCAATGCCTCCCATCCAGCAGGAAAACATCATGAGCATACAGACTCGGTTACTCATGATAGCTGTGTAGCGTAATGGGTTGCAGATGGCCAAGTATCGGTCCACAGACATAGCCCCAAGGAGCAAGACTTCGGTAGTTCCAGCAAGGAAATATAATGTCAGTTGGACAGCACAACCAAAGAAGGAGATGGTCTTTGTCTTTGAGATGAGAAGGCTCAGCAACTTGGGTGTGACTGTGGTGGTGATGATGATCTCCAACCAAGAGAGGTTGCTGAGGAAGTAGTACATGGGAGTGTGGAGGCGAGCATCAAGATGGATCAAGAGAATGACCAGAGCATTGCCCATTATTGTCAGCACGTACATGGTCAGGAAGAGGATGAACAGTGGGACCTCCATTTCCTGGTGGTTAGAGAAGCCAAGCAACACAAACTCAGTCACGATTGTTCCAGAAACATTTTCTCTGTCACTTACGGTCATGGCGCTACAGAGCTGTAACCGAAAAAGGAAAAACGAAAAAGGAAAAAGAAACCACCTGGGAATTACTATCACTGCTACTAACGAAGCAATACCCATTCCTACTGACTGCTTGTATGCTCTGTCTGCTTGATGTGATGCATCTATACCTAGCAGAAAGTATAGATGACAGTTAAAATATGCACTAAAGAGAAGTGGAGGAAGAAAAGATGATGATTTGGCAGATGAAAACTATTTTTCACTCAGTCTCAGCCATCTGACTTCCAAACTCTGTCCCTCATAGTTTTGTACATGCTGCTTCCATGACCCTTCCTCCTTTTTTCAGTAGCAGAGAAGCTCGTTGAATGCAACCTGCTTAATAGCATAGCATTGTTGCTGCTGCTGCTGTTTTTTAAGAAAACTAAACATGTTTTGAAACAGGGATCTCTTGATGTCTATGTCAATATGTATTTTAACTCTTGTAATCTTTAGTCAGTTCATTTCAGTTCCGTTCCACTGACCATAACAGACAAATCAAACATCTTAGATTTTAAAATGAAAGCAAAATAGCATCTTCCATTGGTATTTTTGTAATGTTTTATGGTTGTTGTTGTTTTTAACATGTCCAAAGCTTATTAGACTTGTTTGATCAGAAATAATGTGTATATATGCCACAGGAAGTGAAATCTGGCTGAAAACAATTTCAACCAGTCTTTTTTATTTACAGGTTCAGTGAATCTGGGAGCTGGAATTAGAAGGCTTGTAAGAGAAATCAGATGAAATCAGAAAATATTGCCAATGTTGATGCTTGGGGAAATAATTCTGAAACTGGATGCTGAAGCAGGTTTGCAAGTCAACGGGTGACTATGATTCAAGAAATGGGAAGCTTGTATACATTTTTGCTCAGTTTTCAGAAGTCTGAATTCTCTCAAAATTGTTCTACATTACTGCTAGGAGTTAATGACAAATTAAAAAGACCTAAACTGAGCCGAAAGGACGCTCAGTTGTGGAGGTGTCTGATGGTGAAAGGAAAGTCCGATGCTGCAAAGAACAATACTACATAGGAACCTGGAATGTAAGATCTATGAATCAAGGCAAGCTTGACGTGGTCAAAAATGAAATGGCAAGACTGAACATCGATATCTTAGGAATCAGTGAACTAAAGTGGACAGGAATGGGCGAATTTAACTCAGAAGACCATTATATCTACTACTGTGGCCAAGAATCTCGTAGAAAAAATGGTGTGGCCTTTATAGTCAACAAGAGAGTACAAAAATCAGTATTGGGATACAATCTCAAAAATGACAGAATGATCTCGGTCCGATTCCAAGGCACACTATTCAACATCACAGTAATCCAAGTCTATGCCCCAACCACTGATGCAGAAGAGGCTGAAGTGGACCGGTTCTATGAAGACCTACAACACCTCCTAGAATTAACACCAAAAAATGATGTCCTCATCATCATAGGGGACTGGAATGCTAAAGTAGGAAGTCAAAAGGTAACCGGAATAACAGACAAGTTTGGCCTTGGAAAGCAAAATGAAGCAGGGCAAAGGTTAACAGAGTTTTGTCAAGCGAACACACTGGTCATAGCGAACACTCTTTTCCAACAACCTAAGAGGCGACTCTACACATGGACATCACCGGATGGGCAACACCGAAATCAGATTGATTATATAATTTGCAGTCAAAGATGGAGAAGCTCTATCCAGTCAGTAAAAACAAGACCTGGAGCTGACTGTGGTTCAGATCATGAGCTACTCATTGCAAAATTCAGACTTAAACTGAAGAAAATTGGGAAAACCACGAGGCCATTCAGGTTTGACCTAGATCGCATCCCTGATGAATATACAGTAGAGGTGAAGAATAGATTCAAGGGTCTGGATTTGATAGATAGAGTGCCTGAAGAACTATGGACGGAGGTTCGTGACATTGTACAGGAGGCAGCAATCACCACCATCCCAAAGAAAAAGAAATGCAAGAAAGCAAAGTGGCTTTCTGATGAGGCTTTACAAATAGCAGAGGAAAGAAGGAAAGCGAAAGGCAAAGGCGAAAAGGAAAGATTTACCCAACTGAACGCAGATTTCCAGAGAACAGCAAGGAGAGATAAGGAGGCCTTCCTGAATGAACAGTGCAAAGTAATAGAAGAAAACAATAGAATGGGAAGGACTAGAGATCTCTTCAAGAAAATTGGAGAAATCAAGGGAGCGTTCCATGCAAAGCTGGCCATGATAAAGGACAAAAACGGTAGGGACCTAACAGAAGCAGAAGAGATTAGGAAAAGATGGCAAGAATACACAGAAGAACTATACAAGAAAGACCTCGATGTCCTTGACAACCACGACGGTATAATCACTGACCTCGAGCCAGACATCCTGGAATGTGAAGTTAAATGGGCCTTAGAAAGCATTACTAACAACAAAGCTAGTGGAGGTGATGGTATCCCAGCTGAGCTATTCAAAGTCTTAGAAGAGGATGCTGTTAAAGTTCTGCACTCCATTTGCCAGCAAATTTGGAAAACGCAACAGTGGCCACAGGATTGGAAAAGATCAGTATACATTCCAATCCCAAAGAAGGGCAATGCCAAGGAATGTTCAAACTATCGCACAATTGCACTCATATCACACGCTAGCAAGGTCATGCTCAAGATCCTACAAGCTAGGCTTCAACAGTACGTGGATAGAGAACTACCAGAAGTACAAGCTGGGTTTCGAAGAGGTAGAGGAACGAGAGATCATATTGCCAACATTCGCTGGATTATGGAGAAAGCAAGAGAGTACCAGAAAAATATCTACTTCTGCTTCATTGACTATGCTAAAGCCTTTGACTGTGTGGATCACAACAAACTATGGCAGGTCCTTAAAGAGATGGGAGTACCAGACCACCTCACATGTCTCTTGAGAAACCTGTATAAGGGCCAAGAAGCGACAGTTAGAACCGGATACGGAACAACTGATTGGTTCAGCATAGGAAAAGGAGTACGACAAGGATGTATACTGTCACCTTGCTTATTTAATATATATGCAGAGTACATCATGCGAAATGCTGGCCTGGATGAATCACAAGCGGGAATTAAGATTGCTGGGGAAAAGATCAACAACCTCAGATATGCAGATGATACCACTCTAATGGCTGAAAGTGAAAAGGATCTAAAGAGCCTCTTGCTCAGAGTAAAAGAGGAGAGCGCAAAAGTGGGCTTGAAGCTCAACATCAAAAAAACTAAGATCATGGCATCCGGCCCCATCACTCCTTGGCAAATAGAAGGGGAAGTCGTGGAAGTAGTGACAGACTTCACGTTCCTGGGATCCCAGATCACCGCAGACTGTGACAGCGGTCATGAAATTAAAAGACGCCTGCTCCTTGGGAGGAAAGCGATGGCGAACCTAAACAGCATGATAAAAAGTAGAGACATCACCCTGCCAACAAAAGTCCGCATGGTCAAAGCAATGGTATTCCCAGTAGTCATGTATGGCTGCGAGAGTTGGACTATAAGGAAGGCCGAGCGCAGAAGAATAGATTCTTTTGAACTATGGTGCTGGAGAAGACTCTTGAGAGTCCCTTGGACTGCAAGAAGAACAAATCAGTCAATCCTCAAAGAAATCAACCCTGACTGTTCCCTGGAAGGCCAGATAATGAAACTGAAGCTAAAATACTTTGGCCACCAAATGAGAAGGGAGCACTCACTGGAGAAGACCCTGATGCTGGGAAAGATTGAAGGTCAAAGAAGATGGGGACGGCAAAGGATGAGATGGTTAGACAGTGTCATCGATGCAACGAACATGAAGTTGAGCAAACTTCAGAGGATGGCGGAAGACCGGAAGGCCTGGAGGGAGCTGGTCCATGGGGTCGCAAAGAGTCGGACTCGACTGTGCGACTGAACAACAACAACAAATCATTTTTTAAATGGGATCATAGGATAATTTTGCTTTTAAAAAAGCAGATAAATGAGTTGACTCTATTAATCTATTCCCCTCCACAAATAAAGCTACAACAAATGCTACACTCGGAACATAGCCAAAAAAAAACCCCTACCAACAAAACTAAGCCAATGTTAACAAGCTTTTGGCATTTGAGCATTTGCAAGTGTGATCCAATGTCACCTTCAGCTATGACAATTTCCAAAGGGGTGTGTGGAAAAACAAGGGTTGGATCCCATTGAAATTTCTCCTAATAGGAGTTGATGCTTTTCACTATTTCCCCACACACACCTGCTGCAAAACTCTGTGCAAGCTTATGAGTTAGATTTAGTTATGTTTCTATATGAGTTTCTGCATTTCCACTTTCTTGTAGCCTAATTGAGAAAAATTCTCTAAACAAAGAAATATTGGTAGCCTGGTCTTGCTCTCCATAAACCTTTCTTAAGGCTTCAACCATCCCCTTTGCAGTTTCTTGTCCTTTTATATACACCAACCGGGAATTAGCCAATATAGTAATAATCAGATTTTGTGCTTTACCATCTGCATTCTCCCATCTCGTGATCTCATTTTCAGACACCAAAAGTCACAGAGCAGTTGATGAAAAATTAGTTTTTTTCCTCCTTGAGCTGATGCTTAATTCTAAAAAGTCATGCATTGACATTAACTCTCTAGGGCTGCATATCATTGGGTCATAGAATAGCAATTCAAAAGGGCGGGAAAGAGAAAAAAGTTTCATTCCGGGATCAGCTGTTAAGCAAAGTCTTCTTTTGTTCTTGACAACAGGTGGTGAAGCCTTGTAATTGCTCAAGCAATAGAAAAAAGCAAGCAAATAAGGAAAATTCCTTTTAAACTTTAAAATTCACTCTGGGCACCCCTAATCCTATTGGGATATTTGGTTAATATAGCAGAGTTTTGCCCATTTATAGAAGCATGCTACTGAGTTCAGTAAATAAATCTCCCAACAGGTATATTGCAAAAAAAGAAAACTTACATTTATTCAAGTAGATCCAGTTCACATTCAGGTTGCAGTCAAAAGAAGAAAAAGAGAAGCCTAAGCTAAAGAGTACGTTCCCTGTCACAAGTGGCCAGCTAGTCCAGCATATTT